TTCTCATACAGTTACTCTGTTACTCAATCAAAATCACAAATTGTTTTCTGATACGTGCATCTTCTCCTTTTTTTTAGTCAAGAGAAAAAATTTAGAAAGTACCTGCGACGTCTGGTAGGAAAGTAGGACAAAAGCTCGTGTCACTCTAAAATTTCAAAACAAATTATATATTTGAAACTTAGTCACATGAGTTGAAGGTTTCGCATAAATTCGCAAAGGACAAGCTTTTAATTCGATTATCGTTTTTATAAGGATGTACAGTGAAACTGAATCACTTAATGTTAGAAGAGAACTCGCGCACGAGGGAGAAAGTTATGGCATTTGACATTCTCTCTTGACTGAAATATTTTTACGACCCACCGGCGCACGTATAATTATCAGTTAACACTACGGTTTTTTTCACATTATCATCAACGGCACACGTCTGGCTCGCCTGCCACGGTGAACTGTCTGCGCCACTTAGACTCTTGATCGGGTTTTCACGATAACTCACAGACAGTTATTGTTGAATACTAGACCCTTGTCGTCTTGTTAGCTGTTTTCACCTCAGTGTAGGGACATTTGTCTGAATCTCCTGCAACGAAAACCGTCTGGTTCAAATGCTGTCCGGGATGCAAAATTAGTTTTATCACTGCTTTTTTTATTGTGCTTTTTATATGTTTTCTTTGTCGGTAATGGCCATTTCCTTACCTAAAGTGATTTGTTTCACGCAGAGAGAACACTGTAGCGCTATGAATTATTTTGGAATGATGCTAGTTAAAAGGTTCTTTTCAAATTGATAGGAAATTATTACTCATCCTTACAGATTTTTTTTACAAAACAAAATTGGTGTATTGCAAACGGTAGCAAACTGCCAGCGGCTTTTTTCACAGGTAATTTAATGGCACTTGCCATAAAATTTGTTGGCAGGGCATTTGTTTCTGCTTCTCAGTTTCTGACATGCATCAACACTGAATGACGCTTTGCGACAGTTGCTTTCAACCGGCCACCATTCATTTAAGGATATATCACAGTGTACACAACGAGTATAACAAAATACGCTGCAATAGTCTGAGAAAAAAAAACGCATTTACAGAGTAGCCCCTTCTCTGCCTTGCGGTTAAAACTAAGGATCTTCGCAGGAGATATTTCATTTGCAAATAAATGTGCGATCGGATCTAATGAGTTTTGCAACACGCAAAAGAAAAAGTCCCGCTTTTATTGAGACTAATGCCGTGACACCAATTTTATCATCGCGTCACAGCCCAAAAAAAGAAAACTCACTTATCATCGACAATGTACCGGACACAGCTTGAAAATCATAAAAGTCAATTCCATCATTTTATATAGACAGATGGACTTAATTCCTGCGCTGGGAATTATCTTTGCAGTTTACTCACTGAAATATTGCCAGATTTGTATTGAATTGTTTGCTCTGTTACTGTTTATCATAGTCATCTGATGGAGGACTGATTAGAGACCCTACAATATTCTACATGCAGAAAGAAACAAATAAATAATTTACATCCCAACTTTAATTTTTCATCTTGATATTTTTAAAGATAGAAGGACATGTCTAAGCAGGTCCATTCTTGTATGATTCCATTTTTTACGCTTGATAAACTGAAAGTTAAAAACATCTGCCGACGTTGTTAGAAAAGTCTATGATACTGATTTAAACTAAGAGTGGAAACCTGGTGTCACTTAGAATTTTATTTGAAGTCATAACAATACATCAAAGTGGGGGTGACTTCATGGGGTGAAACAAAAAATAGAAGATATTTATTCTGGACTGAATGTTCAACTTAGCTCTAAAACTGGGGCCAACTTTACGATAGTGTACTTGTGGCAAAGAGGTATTCTGGGACATAGAGTCTACTGTTAGTATGCGTGCGTGTGCGTGCATGTGCGTGCGTGTTTACAAGTGTCGAGTACGTAGAGCTATGTCGTTGCTGATCGCGAGAAAAACTTGACCTGCTTCCCGGACACCTTCACAAACCCAGGCTTGGCAAACGGAAGGGAGCAATGACAAAGATAGTTTGTAATAGGAAATGGTGTTAAGAACGTTGTCCTGGTGTGCTGTTTTACCTATTTCAGACCCACTGGCGCTGTAACCAGAGAAGCGGATTACTGGACGCTATGTATCAAGCGAAAAAGACCTGGTTATTAAGACAAATCTGTTTTCTCCTTGTAAGAATAAATCGTTCTATTTGTTCAAGCACATAATCATAACATTTATTGATCTGCTTATACGACCATGTTTAAATGAAAAAAAAAAGAAGTTTACCGTATCGTTTGCCATTCTACAAACAAGGAAAACAAAGAAATTAGTCACTCACTCAAAATCGTTGCGACCTGTCAAAATGCCAAATCCAAATTGTCAAATTTGCCCTCATTTCGGGCCTAATCATCACACCTCGTTTCACTCAATTTCAATACCGATTGTTCAAATGAATCGTTGAAAATTAACTGTTAATTGAACAGTTGCCAAACTTAATATTTGTATTATAATACGTTTGAAAACATTAGCCCTTTATCAACTTCTGTATGATTAAATGTATGAAAAATACAACGGTTAAAGAACAGTCAAATGTCACAGGTGTTGTGGGGAGACGGTTAATAATCTCTTGCGGTTAAAATTTTCTACAACAACGACAGTTCAAGTAAATGGCGTTTTGGAGAAACCCTGGACCCTTTAAGGAGGCACCTGGAATATTGCCAAACCTGGATCGACCTTTTTGTGCTTTAACATAAGCTGCCTAAATGAGCGTCACGTGTCGGGTTTCATGGTAAAAAGCGCTTGTCAACAGTTCTTTCGTCTTGCTTGCTCTATTATAGGTTGTAGCGTATTAACTCGGTGACGCCTATTGTTATAAGTGGTATAAGAAAAATAAATTAAGTGTTACTCCTCCCCATTCGGCTGTATTTACAGAAAACACACCTCTCTCCAGATGATCGCGTCTGGAAGCGTGTCAGTGATCGGGTCTATTCTCTGACGCGTGGCGAGGAGATCGTGAACGGGTCCAAAATATCATTATTATGATTGATGCCCCTTTGCAAAATCAACCATTTATACAGAAAGAAAATAGAAATGAGAAAAATACATGGCAAAAATAGACCTTGTCCTAAACGACTGAGTTCGGCACAGAACCGCGTCGAGTTGCCGTAGGAAGGTACAGTCAGCACAGGGACGGCGTTTGACACTGTTTAGATAAGGGTAGAGGGCCTTGGGTTGTTGCCAAAACGGCTCGTGTCAAGTCAGAGGAAAGCCGTTGGGGCATGTCTTCACTGTAATTATTACCTGAACAAGGTAGAACGGCGAACAGACGGGCCATTATTGTTATGTCTACGTCTTATCTGTGGTTTGGACCGCAGCCAAGTGTTACACAGGCAGACAAAGAGATGAGGTTTCCGAGTACTAAATGAAAATGAATTTAATTCAAACCATCATATGTGTGTGTGTACTTCTCGACGTAGACCCTGGATCTTTTCTATGGACCCTAGATAAGACTACAACTGCAAGATTTATAAGCTTTTTCTTGACTGACAAACGATCTGTATGGTCACGTCAGCCTTTTACATAGACAAAAACGTGTACTAGTGTATATACAAAGTATATTATACAGTGAGATAGATTGAAATAAATAAAGTGACAATAAAATAAAATGCTATTTGTTAATGTCAGCTAATATAATTTATTATTATAAGTTGAATTCATGGATACACTGTCCAAACACCATTTATTATTACAATGGCACGGATGTACAAAGAACTGAACATTTATTCTAC